CCATTTGTCATTTCCATGTCATTTGCATTGCGTATGCCATTGTCTCGGTTTGTGTGCCCGTGTGCACGCATTTCAAGGCGTTTCATTTTCATTGCATTCATGCATTTTCTCGGTTTGCGTGCCCGTGTGCACCTATTTCGAGGCACCTCGGTTTGCGTGCCCGTGTGCACGCATTTTGAGACATCTCATTTTCATTACATAGCATTTTGTCATCGCCTCGGTTTGCGTGCCCGTGTGCACGCATTTCGAGGCATCTCATTTTTATTACATAGTATTTTGTCATTGTCTCGGTTTGCGTGCCCGTGTGCACGCATTTCAAGGCGTCTCATTTTCATAGCATAGTACATACTAGGTTGTATCTTAGATTACATTCTGTCATTTTCTTGGTTTGCGTGCCCATGTGCACGCATTTCGAGGCATTTCACTTCCATAGCATTGTGTATGTTAGGATTGTATATTAGTTGCATTTCATGCATATCATGCATATTGCATCGTGTCCGGAATAGGAGTTAGCCCGGGCACGAGAAACGAGATACATTTCGTATTCCGAGTGACGGAATGTGTCTCAATTCCCCAGTCACCGACACTCCGGATTATCCATGACGGAGTTAGGTTTTAGCTGTAGTTTCATATGCATTCATCCTATATTGAGTTGTGCATTTCGACTCCTCGGCCATCATGCCTCGGTATGCGTGATTGGTGGCACGAGGATCGAGACATGCATATATTTGTGCAAATACATTGCTATGCCCCTTTCCTGCTCTCTGTTGCAGCAAAACGAAGAATCAGCAATTTTTTGGAGCTTGGCACGCATTTCAAGAACAGGTGTAAACAGAGGCTAATTAGGGCATTCCGGTGGATTTCCGCGCAAGACAACCCGGACATGTGTCATCCATCAGAAGCAAGGCAGTCCCTGGCTTGCACGTCAGTTCTATTTATTTGCTTTCTTAGTTAATTCATTAATTAATTAGGATTTTGTAATATTTTGGACTGTAATATTCTTTTATTCGGGACTGTAATATTTGGACTGTATATTTATTCGGACCCTCTGCGCGAGGGCACAACTGTAATAAGTGTGCGTGAGTGTGATGTATGTCTTCCAACCCCACGTCTTTCTCCCTTTTATTTATCCGCTTATGATGGTTAGATTAGGGCATATTTAAATTAGCATACAGTATGACAGCATGCTTGTTTGCATTCATTCATCTGTATTGCATGCACCGGGCTCGGCGCACCATACTAACTGCATCGTACTTTCAATTCCAAATTGAATACATGATAGTTGTAGCATTTCATATACCATCTTAGGAATAACCGAGCCTGCTACAGTTGCATTTTTGCATGTGTTGCATTAGGCATTACTGTATACTTAGGATCATGCATGATTTCTAATGAATTCCTATTTTGGCTTGGAGTACTCGGTAAGCTTTATGCTTTAGCATCCTTGCACGCG